GGGATGACATATGGCTAGGGATTTCAAGAATGAAGAGAACTGATATATTGGAGGCTGATGAGGAATCTTGAGGCGTTGTGATTAAAATCAATAAGATGAACATACTGAAGATTATTTCCTAAAAGTTGACTTTGCTTTTAGTGCTCAAGTCAGTAATCATGACAGAATTTTTAGGAATACAAGGAAAACTCCCACCAAGTTTGGGTGAAAAAATATAGTAACACTAGCGGCACATTCATTGTCAATTTGCAAATCTGCGTTCACAAAATCAATGATCTCCAGGCATCTTAAAGTTTTCTTTTGATCTTCTGAAACCTCATAACGTTTGCAGTTTATTGGTGCTAAAAAATTCCAGCCAGTTATGTGGGGATCTCCAGGCGTATGATAGATAGTAATCAGCACTCAGTCTGTGTGTGTGTGTGTGTGTGTGTGCTTGTATTTGTTAGAAGCATTAATCTCATGCAATTGGAGTCAATTAAATAACACCAATCCGAACTGGAGTGCTTTTTCTGGTGTGTACAGGAGATGATGTCGTGACAGAAAATGAAATCGAGCATGAGCTAGTTGCAGAGGCAGAGACTGCATGGGCCCAGCGCGAGTGGTCTATCCAGCATGTTTTGTTTCCATCAATGAGGCTCTTTCTCAAGCCACCAAATTCTATGGCTACAAATGGAACATTTGTCCGGGTAAGCTACGTGTTTTTAAAAGTCTACGACATACTTATTAATTACTTCTAGATTCTTCAGATACCCCTAGAAGACAATAGATTTCATGTATGTTGGGCTGGCTAGCTCGGTAACTTACCTACACACTTCAACTAAAAGTCTATATTTGTCCAATGAAAAAAAAGTTCATACAGTTTGAGGCGCAGATGACAGTAATAATCCAACTGGTTTCTTTTGTCATGTATCAGGATTCAGGATGCCATCCCTAAAGACTAAACTTAAACTTCTTAGAGTTTAATTGTCAAGAATCTGTTTTTTTTTTTTTTTTCTTTTTCTTTTTTGCTTATGTAGACGACATTATCTGTCTTATCTGTTTAGTCACATGTTGGTCTCTTTGCTCCCTTTTATACATATGACCCTCTGTTTCTCACTTTTGTTATCTATTATTGCCTAGTATTATTTTTTATATTTTTAATATTAATATTATTAATATTATCATTATTGATGTTGTTATCACTATTGTTACTGTTGTTACTGCTACTATTATAAATTCTCGATTTGTTGGGGAAGTGTTGTTTTGTTCTGTTTTTGTTTTTTCTTATATTAAAAAAAAAATATGTTCATTAAAGAGGAACAGAACAATATAGAAGATAAGTTGTCCACTGGTCTAGCTAGAAGATGTTAGCTCACTGAAACAAGAAAGACAGCGAAACATAGCTAAGCAACAAAGGTACACAGCCGCAAAAATTAGTGCATAAAAGAATTCCAATCATACAATATAGCTTGTGAAGAACTATCCCTAAATTCCAAACATAACGACATCCGTTTTGTAATTGAAATGATATGGGAATCTTGCAGTTTGTAAATCTGAAAATCGAGGATATCCTTTGCTTTTTGTAGGTAGCTTCACTCGAGAAACTGTACAGGATTTTTGAAAGATGCTAATGCCACTGATCAGCGTCATGACAGAAGATAGTGCAGAGGAGGATCATGTTTACAGGCTCATGCGTTCAGCTTACTTTCAATGCACTACATGGTTCCTTATGCTCACTGTAATTGGTTTTGTACAGGACTCTGGGTTTGGTGATATTAAAATTTTGTGAGAAAACACCTTTGTCCAAGTCAGGAGCATTGTTTTCCCTTCAAAGTGGTGTATATTATAATTAGTTTAAAATCTATAAAAATCCTTTTTGAGTTTTGAAAGTGGCGTTCATCTGTGTTTCATATGCTTGTAACCCAATTTTTGAATGGGATTGAACATATCATCTTATCCGGCTGTTTCATGCTAGGATACTCTTAGCTTCATTAGAATATAAACTACAGGAGCCAGCAAGGAGATTGTAGCTCAAGTGGTTAGGAGCATTCACTTCAGTTTTTTCTTTTCGACTCGTCTAGCGCCCAAAAGTAAATCAAAGATTTGTCCTCAATGTTCCAAATTAAAGCATTACTAATGCAAAAAATAAGATGGCGGAGGATAGTATATGGAACTCGCTTTTTCAATTTCCTTAAAAACAAATATTGGGGACTGTATGGCAATTTTTTGTTTTTTGAAAAGAGAAATTTCATTAATATTACAGAACAATACAAAAGAACCTGCACGTAGGAACACAACCTCATTAAAACCTTCCCACGGAAAACCACATTGGAAACTCTCGGGTAAGAAAAAGAGTGTCACACATGTATTGGACTACAAAAGAAACAAATACCCAACGAAATAACACATAGCACAACTACAAGCCCAACAAATAACATCCCATCACAACGTAATACTGTCAAAGAAGAACTTCTATTCTCACATAGTTCTTTACAGTGCTGAAGAGGGAGAGTATGTGGACTACATCCATAAAATCTTGATGAAAATAGACCTCTATATCTAAGAAGCCCTTAATTTTTAAGTTTAATCGGTTAGTCTGGCAATGACGCAACAGTTAATCATCAACTCATGAGTCTCAGTGCTAGTAGCCTGCCATACATACACCTCCCTATTCTGTCTCTAATAAGACCCCAACCTCCAATTCTTCTAATTGATGGCCAATATCATAGGAAAAAAGAAAAGGAGAGAACCCAAATCTCAATGCATTTATTAACATGAGTTCACTCTATCATTTCAAATGGCACATAAATATTCAGAGTATTTCATTTGATATTAGGGTCTTGGCTAACCAACAACTAGCTCGTTTTGATGCTAATAAAAGTCTTATAAAATAGGGAGCATGTGGGTTTCAATTCAATTAAATTTTATGAGCTTACAATAACAAAGAATGAGCTCAAAGTGGTTTTCCCTTTGAACACAGAAAAGAATGGAAAGTGGGTCTATTTGTGCCAACAAATAAATAATAAATATTAATGAAGTTGATAAATCTCGTTGCTCAGTTAATTGCAGAACAAATGCGGCGAATTTCACCATTTGTGGAAGACTTGACGCCGATATTACTCATCTTCACCATGGACCTTCCGAACTCTAGGTTGAAATTCAATGCTTGCAATCCTCTCACACCCAAAAAGCGTTGAACAAAACTTTTAGTGGAGGCATCGGTCCATAACTTCTGATCCGACTCAAGTATCCCGCGACTCTGCAAATTTCTAAAGAAAGTTGCATCAAACTGATTTGCGCTGCCCACGTCTAGATCAACACTCCGAGCAGTGTCGCCATTTTGAGGGCAAAGTGATTGCAGTTGAGAAAGGAAGAGAGGGTTGATGGTTGGGTCAGCGCCATTTCCAGTTGTAGTGAAGTTGTACAATCTGTACCTAAGGAATTGGCAAGCTGAAGTGCCAATGGTGTGTCCATCTGGTGACAAACAAATAAAGAAAGTTAGTTGGAAATGGAAATACAAAACCACCGATGCATGATATCCTTGATTATATTAATTAGTAATATGAATTAGTGCATGCTTACCAACAAGCGTGACAAGATCTTGAGTGTTGAGACCCAATGCTTGGATTTTGGCTTTTTGTACATCAACGGAGTCTCTAAAGCCAGGCAAATTGGAAGTCTCAGATGCCAATGAAACCCTTCCATCTCTTCTTCCAGTTGGCACATTCCAACTGAATCCCTTGGCCTGCAACAAGAAGTCAAAGTAATTTTTAATTAGCACATGGTTATTAATAACTAGATATATAAGCTTGCATGCATGGATGTATATATATTTACTTACGAGAGCCACAGAATCCCGGGCAGGAAGGGCGAGAATATCTGCACAGGAAACCACCAAGGGGCACGCAGTTTCAAGCTTAGTCTTTCAATCGTCGATGACTTTCCAACCTCTTAAACCGCGGTTAGGTCCGGCGGTTTTCTCAGTGTTTACGCCGTTAAAAAGGACGGATGCATCACAGAAATTCCCAAATATTTTCGCATAAAGAACATAAAATATTACCAAACAGAGTCAGCAAAAAGAGAGAGTGCCAAAACAGAGTCGGCAAAAAGAAAAAAGAAAAGAACGAAGAGGACCAGTCAGATTACTCTTTAGCTTTTTTTCTTTCGTCTATGCTCCTGAAATGCCTTTGCAAAACAACCAGTCTGATTCCTCACATCTGTAGCCTCCACCCCACATCGTAGAATATCTGCACAACCTATTGCTCTAATTTTTATCTACAATCCATGATTATTTTATTTTGTGTGAAGGAGGTGTGAAGCGTATGTTCCTGCTTATGCTGACACGTCTGCTACCTACAGAAGTGAAGAGTGCACAAGAATGTGACGTGTGGGGCTCTGGGACAGGTGTTGGTCTCTGCGTGGCTCTCTCATTTGAGTCATCTTATCACCAAATCATTGAAGTAGATTTCCTATTGAAATTTGTAACATTGTAATAAATTTGTAACATTGTATGTGTGTAATCATACCAAACCACAGCCCAGAAAACGGGATGGACATCTCTCCACACTGGAGTGTTGGTCTTAATTGAGGGGTGAGTTAGGTGTGCAAGGCACGTGAGTTGCTAGTAGTGTATGTGAATTAGTTAGACAGCTGTATAAAATGTAATAGTGCTGTAGCTTAAAAGATTAAGAAATAGAGAAATCAAGATTGCAATTTCTCTCTGCTTCATCATGGCTTCTTCTTCCTCCATCAAGATTGATGGCTTGCTCAGTATGGTTACCATTCGTCTCAGTGACAACAATTTCTTGAAATGGACTCATCAACTCCCCCTCAAAAATCCCCATTTGTTTCCCAATCATACAAATGAGGATCCGGATTATCCATATTTTCCTTCATGACTTTGTCCCATTCTAGATGAACCCCTGTCTTCTTCACTCTCACAAAATCAACTAAAGGCCTTACAAGAATGGAGACTTGGTCCCCGCCTTGCAAACGGAGCACATCGTTTGACAATTGTCCCTGCCAAAGATAATGGTATATAGATGTACTCCAAATGTTTATGGAGGCAATTGCTATCTTGGTGTGCAAAGTAGTTTGTTTGGTAAGATTTCTAACGATAATGCAAATAGGACCTTCAGAATCTTCAAGTTTTGGCCTGTTTGTAGAGTATGCGAAGCATATAGTCAACCCTTTTAAATCACGACCCATAGGAACTTCAAAGGAAACGATATTGTCAACATGATTGACGAATGTGAACCACTCAGGAATATCATAAATTCCATTCAAATAAATTCCACCAAATCCGCAAGAAGTCCATCTCTGCACACCATAAGCAATACATTCTTATACATGCTTGCATATATCATTACATGGGCAGTCAAATTGTGTGTGTGTGTGTGTGTGTGTGTGTGTGTGTGTGTGTGAGAGAGAGAGAGAGAGAGAGAGAGGGATTGACCTGTGATGTTCTTCCTAAAATCGGCGGTGAGATTAGTGCACTTCTCCATATGAATCCTTGTCACGGAGTTTAATGACTTATCCAAGCCTGGAACTTCAGTGAGTTTGACCGAATCACGTAGATACAATTCTCTCAGATTCGACATCTTTGAAAAATCTGGAATTATTTCCAATTTGTGGCAGTCATTTGCTTTCAGAACATATAAATTGGTTGGTAAATCTGGGATTGCACGAAGATGTTCGCATCCATTTACACACAAGACCTTGAGCTTTGAAAGACCAGCGAGACTTGGAAGGCTACGAAATTCATTGCCTCCAAGAAGCAGATCTTCTAAGGAAAGTAGGCTACATAGATCCTTACGGATTGCATCCTCACTTAACCGCCAGCAGCCTGCAAGACATACTAACTCTATTAAAGAGTTTAAGCCATGCAAGGAAAGGGGTAAAAGATGGAATTTCAAAATTCTCACCATATAGAGACAAAATTCTCAACTTCTTCAATTTTACTATGGAAGATGGAATTTGTCTGATGGCTGTGTAATCTGCTCTCAGAGTTGTCAATGATACCATGTCCCCTAAGCCATCGGCCAAGTTTTTAAAACTCCAACATTCATTCAGTATAAGAGTTTCAATAGACTTGGATTTATAGAAACTCAGTGGGAGATCCCTTAGCATTTCGCAGTCTTCAAGATTTACCAAAGAAAGTCTTCCAAGATGCCCGATGTATGAGTGAACCTTGATCAACTGCTTACAACCTTTCAATATCAACTTTTCAAGATTTGGGAATTTTGGAAAGTCCGGTGATTTTGTTATGTGATTATCATATTCGACACGAATGACGTCATCATCATTGACCAGATTTTGAGATGCGCGTCGTTCATACGCACAAAGATGGTAATCAATCATATTTTCGTTCATAAATTTGTCCCATACCAGACTAAAACCTGTTTTCTTCACCTTCACCCAATCATCACTGTTCACTATTATTTCAATCAACACTTTATCACCGTCTTGCAATTTGAGCTCGTCATTTGATAACTGTCCCTGCCAAAGACAACTGTCCCTACCCTCAATGCGACAATCGTGTATGATCCTTGCGTCAAGCTCAGTACCCTTGGTCATGTTTTTAATGCTAATGCAAACGAATGGAGAGTCCATGCATGAAGAGTAAACGAAGAACAAAGTTAACCCTTTCAAATTACGACCAACACTTTGAGGCACAGTGAAATACAGAATATCATCGTCATGGACATAGTGGAACCAATTAGGAATATCATTTCCACTGAGAAAAATGCCACCATATCCGCAAGAAGTCCATCCCTATATCATGTGTAGCCAAATTTCGATAAGAAATACATTCTTGTGCATGCATGTGTACATGTGCGTTGTATGTGATAGAAAGAGAAACATGTATGTGTGTGCTTGAGAGAGAGAGAGAGAGAGAAGGATTGACCTGTAGGATGTTCTTTTTAAAATCGGCGGTGAGATTAGTGCACTTCTCCATATGAATCCTTGTCACGGAGTTTAATGACTTATCCAGGCCTGGAATCTCAGTGAGTTTGACCGAATCACTTAGATACAATTCTCTTATATTTGACATTTCTGAAAAATCTGGCATTTTTTCCAGGGCAATGCAGCCACCTGCTCGTAAGACTTTCAAATTTGTTGGTAAATCTGGGATTGCACGAACATTTTTGCACTTATTTAAAGACAAATCTTGAAGCTGTGAAAGACGACTGAGGCTTGGTAGGCTGCAAAAATCATTTTCTCCAAGATCTAAGGAAATTAGGCTACCGAGATCCTCAGCAAGAGCTAATTTTCTTAAAGAGCTTAAACTTTGCAATGGAGGCAAAAGATTTGTTGATGGCGACCCTTCCACATGACATAAAGATAAAACTTCCAGTTTCTTCAATTTTAATATGGACGATGGTATTTGTCTTATGGCTGTGTAATCCGCTTTCAGAGTTGTCAATGATACCATGTCCCCTAAGCCCTCAGCCAACTTTTCAAAACTTAGACAACCATTAAGTAGAAGAGTTTCAATAGACTTGGATTTATAGAAATTCAGTGGGAGATCCTTTAGCATTTCGCAGCGTTCTAGATTTACCGAAGAAAGTCTTCCAAGATCCCCGATGGATGAGTGAACCTCAGACAAACTCACACAGCCTTCCAATATCAATTCCTCGAGATTTGGGAGTTTTGAAAAGTCTGGTGATTTTGTTAGCTGATAGGAATGACTGAGATTAAGGATTTTCAAATTCTGATGCAACTGTTACACAAAAACAAAATTAGAAGGGAAATTAAATTCAAATTCTGATACAGAAAATAAACCAAAATGGAGAGACGGTTGAGATTATTATACCTTGCAATCCTTCCAAACTATTTCGAGTTCGCTATCCTGCAGGTCTAAAGCAACTAGTTTTGGTTGCATAGGAAAGTCATCTGGTATGGACTCTAAAGGAAAATATTTCCAGCACAACCATATTAAATTTTTGGGAAAATCTTTGTACTCTCCAGTGAGCTCTACGTTGCTGAGGCGGAGTAACCTCAGTTTTTTCATGTTGGTAAATGCTTGTGCACTGAATCTAGTCGAATCTAGATCCCAATCTCCATCCGAATGTAGAGCAACTCCTTCAATTTTTTTAGTTCCCTGTTAACAAAAGATACCGAGTTAGAAAAATGATTTACAAACATGAAAATCCGTGTATGTGTTAACCAAAAGGTATTATTAACCAAAAGGTATAATTAATAGTATTGGACCATGTTACGCCCTATAGTTTGTGTTTGCAATCAAAGCACATATTTTTTGTTGGTTATGCCTAATCAAAGGACATTTTAATTTCTTATAGACATGGGATACATATGCTTCTCTTGCATGATGCATTCTAAAACCTTACTGGGAAAGTACTTACAGATTCATCGCTCAATACATCTGTTACGTCTTCACATTTCCACAATCTACTAAATTTTTCAGGACGACCGGGGGATTTTTCACGAACGATCTCTCTTCCCATGTCTCGAAGCAAATCATGCATCATCAGCTCGTTTTCCTCACTAACAGTTACAAGGCACCGTTCAATGAGGACACTGATTCCCATCGTTGCAGAAAAGCCACATCCATCTAATATTTGTGTGACATAGTACCTGTCCATTCCAATAAAGAAACAAGATATATCAAGGAATATCTCTCTCTTTTCCTGATCAGGTAGCCCATCAAAGCTTATTCTGAGTATTTTTTGAATATCTCCATCAGGACTTCTTTCCAATTTCTCCAAATGGCTTTCCCACTCCGCTGTGGGTCTTTTAATCAGAAAAGACCCTACAACTTCAAGTGCTAGAGGCAAGCCTCGACAGTAACGAATTACACGTTTTGAGAGGTCAAGATATTCTTGACTAGGATAACCACTTTCAAAGACATGCCAACCAAAGAGCTCAAGAGCTTCTTTTTCATCCATTTCTTCAGCGGGATATGTGCTATCCACTCCAATTTGCTCCAGCAAATGTTTATCTCTTGTTGTTATAATAATTCTACTTCCAGGACCAAACCAATCACGTTTTCTAGCTATTGCTTTTAGCTTCTGTACTTCATCTACATCGTCAATTATGACAAGTGCTCTTTTACAGTGAAGTCTTTCTTGTATCACAGTGATTCCTACATCAACAGAATCAACCTTTATGGGGTCCTTGCTTTTCAAGATATCATTTAGAAGTTTTTCTTGCAAACCAACCAGACCATTACTGCGTTGGTTTGCAATTACTTCCCTCACGTTTGCAAGGAAACTCCTACCTTCAAAGCTACCTTCAAATTTGTTATAAATGGCTTTGGCAAGCGTTGTTTTCCCAATGCCGCCCATCCCCCAAATACCAATCATGCGAACAACATCCTTAGAACCTGAATTTTCAATATCTAAGTGATCACTCAAAACCTTCATCCGAGAAGTAATTCCAACAAGGTGTTCGATGTCTAATTGGTATTTCCTGTACAACTGCTTATTAACCTCCCCAAGAATTTTCTTGATAAACTTTGCTTCATGCCTGGCAATTAAACAAAGAAGCAGAACTACGAATCATTCCATGTGGAACAAACTACAAGGTGAAATTGAATCCCTAACTTAATAATTTAGAATGAGCAAATTATTTTCTTTTTTTATACGTAGTTAACAATTTAGATATAATTAACAATTAAGATTGGGATTTAACATTATCAAGTAAGAAAGAATGCATAGTGAAAACTTGAGATGATAATCCAAGGAACAAGAAATTAGTAATTACCCATCAGCATTTTTAAGATCTTCCCCACACAAATCTGCAGCTTGAGTGAGAGCATTTCTCCACCGCTGTACCTTTTCTTCCACATGTTTGCCCGCTTCATGTTTCTCAAATGCTTGTGCAAAACAACCAGTTTGTTTCCGGACATCTGAGGCATCAACATTATAGAACAATGGAATAACCTGTTCACCCAATCTTTCTCTGCACTCCATTATCTTCACCAGCTCGTCAAGACACCAACTGGAATCGGCATAACTCTTGGAGAAGACAATTATGGAGATCATGGACCCGTCGATTGCCTGCTCCAGTTGGGTTTTTATAAATTCCGCTCTTTTTAGCTCGTTGTCGTCAAGAAAGGCGCGGATTCCAGCATCAGATAATGCGGCGTGGAGGTGGCCTGTGAAGCCCTTGCGCGTGTCTTCACCTCTGAAGCTCAAGAACACTTGGTACTGCCAACGTTTTGATGAGGAGGATGAAGAGGAGGCTTTATGGGCTTTCCTGGCATCCATTAATTGATACTGGTTCAGATCAGACCAACTACAAATTGGTACTGCCTTCCATTAATTAATTATTTTTTTATGGGCAGTGGTTTTGCCTTGAGCAGCAGATGAATATGTTATTGAACTACGTTCCTGCCAACACGTTATGGACGTGGAGAGAGGCAGAGAGAGCGTGGAAGATCAGCGTGGGCACACGGTAAATTTCTGGAAGCAACCAAAACCAGGGGTCGGTTTCTGGACGAGCACAATGTCAAAAGAGAAAAGAAAAGAAAAACACAAGTCTTGTAAGAAAATCATCATCCAGGAAAAAACAAAGAGGAAAAACATAAGAAAATCATCATCCACCGCACATGTCCAAATCCACGGAAATCATTGTTACAGTACATAGCAGCCTGTGAGAGTAATCTCAATCATCGTCTGCATATTTACAAAGTTAAAAGAAAATTCAAATCAAAACAAGTAAATTTCCATTACATATAGAAATCAAATTCCACGAGTTTTATACTCCTCAAATCAAATTAGCACAATCTGCACACAACAAAAAGAAAAAGTTAATAATATATGAATTAATTTGACATTAAGAAACTACAAATTTTGATTAATGTAGAAAAGAAAGAAAACCTTCTTCCATTTTTTCCAACTCATCCAAAACTAATATTACCTCTGGCATAATTTTCAATATTAGTCTTGATTGAGAAGCATTCAAATCTTCAATAGTAATCTCCATGCTTTACCACCATGTTTCTTCATGAGCTGCCGAATAAACATCCAACAAACCACTAAATAAATCAAAGAGAACCCACATCATATTTGACCAAAAAGATTAATTTAAAATCCACCTATAAAAAGAGCAATTACAGTCCAGCATCTATAAATAAAATTTTTAAAGTTCACTTGTATCCTAAATCATAGGACACGGTGAAATTGAATTGCCTGGGGGAAAAGACTCCAGCAATTACTTTGTGAATGCTTGTCATCATCAACAACACGGAAAACTGACCAATTTCCTAATGCACTGCACAGTTCCCACCCTGACTGTAAGATAGTGACAAAACCTTTGAGTTCAGTTTAAGCTCATCTTTTTCAAGCTGGTTGCACAAGATATCAGTGAGTGTCTGCACTAGACAGAAAAATGAAACAGATCTGCCACACAGATCGAAACCTATATTATGCTCTATCATCGAAACCAGTACACATACATGAGCCTGGGAATTCTCAAAGTCAAATAAGCATAAAACATAAAAACCAAAAGACAAATATGCAGAAATCTAAAAATCAAGAAAGACCCACGAATTGATGAAGAGCACACTCAGAATGTCATACAACCAGGTTTTGCAAATCTGGGAGAGAGCGACAGAGCGGCTGCGAGAGAGAGAGAGAGAGATCGCGAGCGGCTGAGAGAGACCGATAGAGAAATCTGAAAGAAGTTGGCAGCGGATTTGGGGAGAGGAAGTTGAGAATGAGAGAGACTCACTGAGAGAGGCAGAGGCGGAATGACGGAAAAAATCAAAGCCCCTCAAATGTTTAGGGTTTCGCTGGATCGAGTGTGACAAGGAGTAGAAATGGCATAAAATTACACGTGCAGTAATAATTTTTTAATAATGTAATAAAAAAATTTGGGTAGGCCCGGTTTTCATCGGTTTAGAGAAAATTAAAACCGGTCCAGCCCGATTTTGAGCCGATTCGGCTGATGAGGAATCTTGTGGCGGTGTGATTAAAATCAATATTGAAGACTATTTCCTAAAAGTTGACTTTGCTTTTAGTGCTCAAGAAAAACTCCCACCAAGTTAGGGTGAAAAAAACATAGTAACACTAGCGGCACAGTCGTTGTCAATTTGCAAATCTGCGATCACAAAATCAATGATCTCCAGACAGGCATCTTAAAGTTTTCTTTTGATCTTCTGAAACCTCATAACGTTTGCACTTTATTGGCATTAAAAACTCCAGCCAGTCGCATGCAGCGGCGGATCCATGAAGTTTTTAAGGAATGGGCAATAACATTTTGATAGGATGGAATTAAAAAAATTAAAGAACATATAAAAATGATTATTATAATGAAATATATATATATATTACAATAGCTATAATCAAGTAATTGAAGCAAAATAATCAATCTTAAAGAAATAAGAAAAGCTAGGGGAGGTTTGTAGAATTATACATACATATCTGCTGCTGTGATAACGATTTGGTTTGAATAGGTTGGTCAAGACTCAACATTTCACTTTTAACTAGTTGGGCTGTAAGTAAGGTTTTTATTCATTTATTGTTTATTTATTAATTTTGTCAGAGTTTGGGTAGGAAAAGGAGTTTTGTTTCACCAAAACGGTAGAGTTTGACTTTTAAAAAACTTCAATGAAACGTGCGTTTCATTAAACAAAACTAAAGGACGACGTCGTTTGTGAAAAAGAAAATTAGGGTATAGATTTATCTTCCTCCTTCGTGAACCATCGCCTTAGCCTCCATTAGAGACGCCTCAGCCTCCATTAAAGACGCATTTGCAACAGATCGTGCTCCTAGCATCGCCTTGAACCATGCTACTATCTGTAACTTGCCAAACGATTGGCTCCTTGAGGCGATTTCCAGAATCCTTACATAACGATTTAAAACCTTGGGCTCTAGCGCAGAGGGGCAAATCTAGCACCTCCATGGCTTTTTTCCGACGAGGAGAGGTGCAGGTGCACCTCCTTGCGCCTCTGTAGGTCCGCCACTGGTCACATGGGGATCTCTAGGCGTATGTTAGATAGTAATCAGCACTCTCTCTCTCTCTCTCTCTGCTTGTATTTGTCAGAACAAAAACACACTTGCATTAATTTCATGCAATTGGAATCAATTAAGTAACACCAATCCGAACTGGAGTGCTTTTTTTGGTGTGTACAGGAGATGATGCCGTGACAGAAAATGAAATCGAGCATGAACTAGTCGCAGAGGCAGAGACTGCACGGGCCCGGCTACATTTCTTTAAAAGTCTATGACATACTTATTAATTACTTCTAGATTCTTCAGATACCCCTAGAAGACAATGGATTTCGTGTATGTTGGGCTGGCTAGCTCGATAACTTACATATACACTTCAACTAAAAGTCTATATTCGTCCAAGGAATAAAAAAAAGTGGGAGTTTCACTAAAATACCCAAAATGGGAGCTGAAATTATAAAAATACCCAACACCCAAAATACTTTATAAACATACCCAAAACCCATCATTACACACACTCAAAATTCATTTATAAACACACCCAAAAAATATACAATTGTTGATTGTGGGGTTGATTTTGGGTATGTTTTTATGTTTAAATAGTGTTTAGGTATTTTTATAAATACATGTTTAGAATTGGGTATTTTTATAAATATCTATAAAAAAGTTCATACAGTTTGAAGCACATATGACAGTAATAATCCAACTGGTTCTTTTATCATGTGTCAGGATTCAGGATGCCACTGACGTTTTTAGACTTATGTCATCTCAAAAGACTAAACTTAAACTTCTTAGTGTTTAATTGTCAAGAATCTGTGTTTTTTTTTCTCTCTTTTCGTATGTAGACGATAATATCTTTGTCTGTCCTGTTTAGTCACATGTTGGTCTCTTTGCTCCCTTTTATACATATGAGAATGACCCTCTGTTTTTCAGTTTTGTTATCTATTATTGTCTAGTATTATTTTTTATATTTTTAATTTTAATATTACTAATATTATCATTATTGATGTTGTTATCACTATTATTACTGTTCTTACTGCTACTATTATAAATTCTCGGTTTGTTGGGGAAGTGTTGTTTTGTTTTGTTTTTGTTTTTTCTTATATTAAAAAAAAACATATTTTCATTAAAGAGGAAGATAAGTTGTCCACAGGTCTAGCTAGAAGATGTCAGCTGGCTGAAACAAGAAAGAATGCGAAACATAGCTAAGCAACAAAGGTACATGGACACACAGCCGCAAAAATTAGTGCATAAAAGAATTCCAATCATACAATATAGCTTGAGAAGAGCTATCCCTAAATTCCCAACATAACAACATCCGTTTTGTAATTGAAATGATGTGGGAATCTTGCAGTTTGTAAATCTGAAATGATATCCTTTGCTTTTTGTAGGTAGCTTCACTCGAGAAACTATACAGGATTTTTGAAAGATGCTAATGCCACTGATCAGCGTCATGACAGAAGATAGTGCAAAGGAGGATCATGTTTATAGGCTCATTCGTTCAGCTTACTTTCAATGCACTACGTGGTTCCTTATGCTCACTGTAATTGGTTTTGTACAGGACTCTGGGTTTGTTGATATTAAAATTTTGTGAGAAAACACCCTTGTCCAAGTCAGGAGCATTGTTTTCCCTTCAAAGTGGTGTATATTATAATTAGTTAAAAATCTATAAAAATCCTTTTTGAGTTTTGCAAGTGGCGTTCATCTGTGTTTCATATGCTTGTAATTCAATTTTTGAATGGGATTGAACATATCAGCCTATTCGGCTGTTTCATGCTTAGATACACTTAGCTTCATTAGAATATAAACTACAGGAGCCGGCAAGAAGATTGTAGCTCAAGTGGTTAGGAGCATTCACTTCTGCTTTTTCTTTTCGACTCGGCTAGCGCCCAAAAGTAAATCAAAGATTGCCCTCAATGTTCCGAATTAAAGCATGACTAATGCAAGAAATAAGATGGCTGAGGATGGTACATGGAACTCGCCTTTTTAATTTCCTTGAAATTATTCAAAAAATGAACCACATAATTAACTAATTAAACTAATTAAGGGGTAGGAATTTCTGCAGCCGATTTTTGGTTGAAAACATGCAAGATCATATATCTAAAACCTTCCAACTTATATTTTCTGTGGTATACATTATCCAAGTGCCTTTTTGGTTTACAACACATTATCTCCAATTTTCTGTTATTCTATTTCTTCTCTATTAACGCGCTGCCTCATGAAAACAACATAACCATGTTAGCTTGTCATCTAGCAAATGCACATTTTATTCATGTGATGGTTTTTTTGTGTTATTTTTTTTTTCCAATACAAGCTATAGTCTAAACTACAAAGGAGACCCAATGCTTGGATTTTGGCTTTTTGTACATCAACGGAGTCTCTAAAGCCAGGCAAATTGTAAGTCTCAGATGCTAATGAAACCCTTCCATCTCTTCTTCCAGTAGGCACATTCCAACTGAATCCTTTGGTCTGCAACAACTAGTCAAAGTAATTTTTAATTAGCACATGGTTATTAATAACTAGATATATAAGCTTGCATGCATGCATGTATGTATATTTACTTACGAGAACCACAGAATCCCGGGCAGCAAGGGCGAGAATATCTGCACAGGAAACCACCAAGGGGCACGCAGTTTCAAGCTTAGTCTTTCAATCGTCGATGACTTTCCAACCTCTTAAACCGCGGTTAGGTCCGGCGGTTTTCTCAGTGTTTACGCCGTTAAAAAGGACGGATGCATCACTGAAATTCCCAAATATTTTCGCATAAAGAACATAAAATATTACCAAACAGAGTCGGCAAAAAGAGAGAGTGCCAAAACAGAATCGGCAAAAAAGACAAAAAGAAAAAGAACGAAAAGGACCAGTCCAGATTACTCTTTAGCTTTTTTCTTTCGTCTATGCTCCTGAAATGCCTTTGCAAAACAACCAGTCTGATTCCTCACATCCGTAGCCCCCACCCCACATCGTAGAATATCGGCACAACCTTTTGCTCTAATTTTTTTTCTACAATCCATGAGTATTTTATTTTGTGTGAAGGAGGTGTGAAGCATGTTGCTGCTTATGCGGACACGTGTCTGCTACCTACAAAAGTGAAGAGTGCACCAGAATGTGACATGTGGGGCCTTGGGACAGGTGGTGGTCTCTGCGTGGCTCTCTCATTTGAGTCATCTCATCACCAAATCTTCTTCCTCCATCAAGAATGATGGCTTGCTCAGTATGGTTACCATTCGTCTCAGTGACAACAATTTCTTGAAATGGACTCATCAACCTCCCCTCAAAAATCCCCATTTGTTTCCCAATCATACAAATCAGGATCCGGATTATCCATATTTTCCTTCATGACTTTGTCCCATTCTAGATGAACCCCTGTCTTTTTCACCATCACAAAATCAACTAGAGGCCTTACAAGAATGGAGACTTGGTCCCCGCCTTGCAAACGGAGCACATCGTTTGACAATTGTCCGTGGCAAAGATCTTCAGGTTCGTTTGAGAAAGGTCTTCTGTATCTGGCAAATGCTATCTTGGCGTGCAAATCAGTTTGTTTGGTAAGATTTCTAACGATAATGCCAATAGGACATTCAGAATCTTCAAGTTTTGGGCCAAAAACAAAATAAGAGTAAACGAAGCATATAGTCAACCCTTTTAAATCACGACCCATGATTTTTTGAGGAACTTCAAAGAAGACGATATTGCCCACATCACCGACGATTTTGAACCACTCAGGAATATCATAAATTCCATTCAAATAAATTCCACCAAATCCGCAAGACGTCCATCTCTGCACACCAGAAGCAATACATTCTCATGCATATGCATATTTACATGGGCCGCATCTGCAGCTGTGCCTCTGTGTTTGTGTGTGTGTGTGAGAGAGAGAGAGAGAGAGAGAGAGAGAGAGAGAGAGAGAGACCTGTAGGATGTTGTTCCTAAAATCAGCAGTCAGATTGGTGCAGCCTTCCATATGAATCCTTGTCATGGAGTTTAATGACTTATCCAAGCCTGGAACCTCAGTGAGTTTGAACGAATCACTTAGATACAATTCTCTCATATTCCACATTTTTGAAAAATCTGGCATTCTTTTCAATTCTGGGCAGTTAATTGCTTTCAGAGCATACAAATTGGTTGGTAAATTTGGGATTGCACGAAGACTTGTGCATGCATTTACACACAAGACTTTGAGCTTTGAGAGACCAGAGAGACTTGGTAGGCTACAAAAGTCATTGTCTCCAAGAAGCAGATCTTCTAAGGAAATTAGGCTACATAGATCCTTAGGGATTGCATCCTCAGTTAACCAGCAGCCTGCAAGACATAATAACTCTATTAAAGAGTTTAAGCCATGTAAAAAAAAAAGGGTAAAAGATGGAATTTCAAAATTCTCACCAGATAGAGATAAAATTCTCAACTTCTTCAATTTTACTATAGAAGATGGAATTTGTCTGATGCACGTGTTATCTGCTTCCAAAATTGTCAATGATACCATGTCCCCTAAGCCCTCAGCCAAGTTTTCAAATGTCCAACAACCATTCAGTATAAGAGTTTCAATAGACTTGGATTTATAGAAATTCAGTGGGAGATCCTCTAGCATTCTGCAGCCTTCAAGATTTACCAAAGTCAGTCTTCCAAGATCCCCGGTGGATGAGTGAACCTTAGACAAGTTGACACAACCTTTCAATATCAACTTCTCGAGATTTGGGAATTTTGAAAAGTCTGGTGATTTTGTTATGTGATTATCATTTTCGACATACATGATGTCATCATCATTGACCAGATTTTGATATGGGCGTCGTTCATACGCACAAAGATGGTAATTAATCATATTTTCGTTCATAAATTTGTCCCATACCAGACTAACACCTGTTTTCTTCACCTTCACATCCCGCGAATCATAATAGTCCTCCACTATTATTTCAATCAAGACTTTATCACCGTCTTGCAATTTGAGCTCGTCATTTGATAACTGTCCCTGCCAAAGATCCTTTCAAATTACGACCAACACTTTGAGGCACGGTGAAATACACAATATCATCGTCATGGACACAGTGGAACCAATCAGGAATATCATTTCCATTGAGAAAAATGCCACCATATCCGCAAGAAGTCCATCCCTATACCATGTAGAGCCAAATTTCTATAAGAAATACATTCTTATGCATGCATGATGCATGTGTACATGTGCGTTGTATGTGATAGAAAGAGAAACATGTAGTGTGTGTTTGAGAGAGAGAGAGAGAGAGACTTGTAGGATGTTCTTCCTAAAATCGGCAGTCAGTTTGGTGCAGCCTTCCATATGAATCCTTGTCATGGAGTTTAATGACTTATCCAAGCCTGGAACCTCAGTGAGTTCGAACGAATAACTTAGATACAATTCTCTCATATTCCACATTTTTGAAAAATCTGGAATTGTTGTTGATTATTGGCTCAAAAGCAAGGTTGCTTTCGGCTACTTTTGCACCCATGTGAAATGTTGCTTTCGGTCAAAAGTAGAATATTGTAGCTAGCTGAATGGCATTGGCAGACAAAATGAAATGGGATGCCTTTGCAGAGGAATATTTTGCCTTTGGACAGCAGCATATGGGAGACATAATGATAGATAGCATTGATGGCTTACCCTACTTGTTTGGAGGCCTTTGGCCGTGGGTTCCTTGAAGAGCCAACTTCATTGGCTATAAATGGAAGCATGCAGCAGCTGAAGTAGAGGGGGTGTAGAAGAGCTGCAGAGAGAGAAGTCGGCAGAGAGAAAGAAAAATAAAGAGTTTTTTTTTTTCCTTTCTCTAAATTTGTACTAAATTTGTGTTCTCCTTATATATTCTTGAGTGTGTGAGCTTGGGTATATTTGGGGCTTGGGTTTCTGAGTGTTAAACACTATTGTATTCTCTCATTTGATTATAGTGGAATACTCCGTCGTCTCCAAACTGGATGTAGGCATTGCCGAACCAGTATAAATCTTGGTGTTCTTGTTGGTGTTGTTTTTGTGTTCATTATTTTATCTCCTGCCAGTTGTTAATTTTTTCACTCGTAATTGGTTGACGCTTCCGCACAACAAGTGGTATCAGAGCTCCAGTTCGACTGGGGAAATTGGCGTGCTACAGTACTATGAACAGTACCGGTTCTACAGTACCATGAACAGTAGCTGCGCTACAGCAGCTGTGAATAGTGATTTGCTACAGTAGCCGTGAATAGTGCCGAGTGGATTTGATGGCTGGAGATAAAGATGAATCTGGGAAGGAGAAGGAGTCGACATCGTCTGCGTCGGCACCTACATCAAATAGACATCCGATCGCTACTACAAGGTTAGAGGTTGATAAATTCAATGGCTCTAATAGTTTTGGTATGTGGCAATGTGAAGTTATGGATGT